ATGGTGGGGGCTGCGGAGGCGGTGGCGTCGTTGGAGAAGGGGCGTCTAGGGCGGCAGCGGAATAGAGGTGGCGACTGCAGCGGTGGCAAAGGGACGCCACCGGATACGCCGCCCCCGCGCCCGCGGCAAAGCCCTATCGCCGCGCGAGGGCGGAGGGGTCGCTCGCCCGCAAGCCTTATCGCGCCGCGCGCCATTACACTGCTGCAGCCAAACAACGGCGCGCCGGAAAAGAACCGCGCGCGAGCGATAATTAATTCCCTGGAGCGCCGCGCGACGCGCCACCGCCGACAACGCGATTTTCGCGGCGCGGTAAGTAAGGTACGCAAGTCGAGCGATTCCGCACCCTTACTTCCTCTCTTGATGGATACATTTTGTGGGAATATGCGAATGAACACGCAGAAATGCGTATTTAACACTTAAGAGGATGTGTCATCTTTATTTATGGGTATATACTCGTAAAAGACGTATACCAAATAAAAAAATTAAAAATGGAACACCAACTGTGTACACACAATGGTATACACCAAATAAAAAATGGTCTGTAAGCATTGTTTACTAAATAAATCATGAAGAAAAAAAGATAAATTAGTAACCAAGACATATCATTGCTCTGCAACTTGTCGTGAGAAATATCTCGCCTTGGAAATGTAAGAAAGAATTGTAAATAATTTTTTAGTGACCTTTCCGGGAAAATTCCTTATTTGGTCAAATAATTCCCTTGGCTCAGACCAACAGTTCGGTTTTAAGCTATAGCAATTAAAACATTGTTAACATGATTATTTCCCTTATTGTTAAAATAATGCCTTATTGTTATAATAATAAGGGAAATAGCCATGACGAAATGGAGAGACGAATAAGCTTGGGGAGAAACGTGACACGAAGTATAAAATCTGTCTTATGGAACAAAACCATCACTAACACTACTAAAAGACGTCTTTACTCCTCGCTAGTTAAGAGTGTTACAACATACGTTTCAGAAGTTTGGGAGATCGATAAAAGAACAAAAGGGAAGCTGCTGGCCCTTAAAATGGACTACGGGCGTAGAAGTGCTGTTATAGCAGACGTGACAGAATCAGGAACGACGACATACGAAAGAAAATGGATGTCAAGAAATCTATCCTTGACGAAATAGAGAACAAAACAAATCGTCTGGTACGGTCATATTATGCGAATGACAGACGAAAGATGGCCAAAACGAGTCCTGAAATGGGTGCCGACAGAAAGACAGAAGCGAGGAAGACCCAGACTTGCATGGCAGCAGGGAGTGCAAGAGGCTATGACAGCAAGAGAAATGCCAGATGATCTATGGTCCAATAGAGAGGCACGGAGACTGAGAGCGGAGAAACGGCGACAGCTGTAGAGCAACTTCGTACTATATATTATAATGATATTATACTATATATTTAATGATTATATAATTTATATAGAACCGTGAAAGCCGTTCAATAGTTTCGCACATGTTAGTTAGCTCTCGATGGCACACGGGGCATAGATAGTGCCCCAGCTGTGAACGCGCTATAGCTTGCATGGAAAAATTCGATTTAAAAGTTTGCGCTTTGTAGGACAGAGTTAATGGCATTTTTCTAAACTTCACCGCTGGCATTATTTGGTGACTGGCGCGCTACCTTGCGGATCACGCAATCTATATGTCTATAATTTGTGTAAATTTTAGCTTTAATATGCAACAAAATAACTACGTTACGTTACGTTACGTTAACTTATGTAAACTGTCTTTTAAGGTAAAGTTATTGTGCTATCACGCAAGTAGGAAAAATCTTACATCCACCGAAATAGTTTTCATCGCTTTAGTCAACCTATTTGAAAAAAGTAATGTTGACATCGTACATAATATTATATAATATAGTTTATGCTATACATCATTCGGTAATATATGTAGAAATCGAAAATCTAATATAATATCGATTTGAACAGTCGATTTTTGTTGGTACATTCAAATGGTCGCATACATTTCTTGAAAAGGATATTTTCTTTACATGTTTTGAAAAGGATAAAGGCTTCCGTGGCCGAAGTCATTGGATATTTGACTGTCCGGTTTGAGCCACGTCTCAGTCGATTGAGCTGTCGTTTCGGCCGTCGTGTTGTGGTCTTCTTTAGAGCTGGGCTAGAGTATAGCTCTGAAGAAGGCCCCAATACGATGGCCGAAACGTCAGATCAATCGACTGAGACGCGGCTCTACCAGGACAGCCAAGTTTCCATTTCAAGAACAGGTTACCCAATCGTGCCTTGACATGGGGAGAACGGATTAGTATTCCTGGAACTTTTAAGAAATTTATAAATGTTTAAACAGTTTCTACTGTATGTTACAAAAATATTTCTGCTATTAGCTACATTTTATTTCACGTAGCCTTTCTTCTTTTTTATCTATTTTTTGATTGGATTGATTGATGTTTTGGGAGATATGAAACCAATCTCCACTTCACGCCAGCTTGCAGATTATATTTCCCACCAGGTATATCCCCCCTGTGGGACCCAGCCTCAGGCGAACCAAGATCTTCTGTTTCTCTTTTCTCCAAGTAAAAGAAAAAAAACAATTGAGTTCACACATATTTGGAAAACTATTTAAACTCTGGTCAAACTGTCCCAATGAAAAGTGTCCAAAGGGTCCCTCGCCATGTGTAGTTGTGTGTGTGTGTGTGTGTGTGTGTGTGTCTGGAGAGGATATGGCAAAGAAGGGAAAGGAAAGATTATGCGCGTCCCATGACCCATTTGTTAGGGTACCGTCCTGGCATTTATTTTATATTAATCAAAGAAATCATGGAAAATGCCGTTTAGAGTAAATAGAAGCTAGAATTCCCCATGCGACAGCGGCTGATTTCGACCTAGCTATTTTCGGGACTCAAACTCTAGACCCCCAGGCCACATTCACTGCAGATTCAGCTAAAATACTGATATAACATAAATCAGCGGGCCGATCATTTTGAAATCAAATTACACACCTCTAGTTTGTTGGCTGCTTATGCTAGACTGCGCCAGAGGGAGGCATTTAATTTCGTATATTACACTGTTTGAAAAATTACAAATATATTTTTATTTTTTCAGTACCCGTGAAAATCAAAATGTTAAAGTTTGGTAAAACATCTTTGAAAATGTTAGATGTCCCTGATGCTTTATTTTGTAAAACTCCCAGAGAAAAAAAACGATTAAATGCACATATTTTTAGGGAAAATGCTTAAATTTTGTATGATATGTAAACTTGATCAAACTATCGAAACGAAAATCATACAATGCTCACTGAAGGGTGCACCCCACTCGGAACATTTTAATATAGAATTCGCCATTTTCTCCAAATATTCAAAATTCAAATTATTCAATATGTCAGCTTCGAAAATTCGATGAAAACGTGATTTTAATGATGATTGGCCAACCAACGTAACTATTAAACAAGAGAAGTTCATGAGTAGGATAGCTAGACCCAGGTTTCCTTTCTCTCTATTGAGCCTCCCGCTAAGAAATATTGTGGTACCGGCAGGTAGAAAACACTGGCTCCACATTTGCGTGCTTAGAATTCTGTGCGCAATTGGTCGCGCTACACGAGATACGAAGGAGTCGTTGGATCTTGTTTTGCCTTGCTCTGTGGTTTTGTCCCTCCAGGAGCCCGGAGTCGGAAGGAACGAATCTTACTCAATGAAATCTTCGAAGCGTTGCGCCGCACAGTGGCACGAATCTCTCTAGAAGTTGTGTAAACGTTCAGCAAGTGCCTGAAAACCTATTTACACGACTTCGGAACTATGGAATCGCGGTGATTATAAAATATTGTAGAATCGGTATGAATTTTGTCGTAATAAAAATGAAGTTTTAAGATAATATATGACTTAATTATTTACATTTTGTATCAATTATATTGAAACAAACGGCTGTAATATTGCTGGATTATAGCCTCAGGACCCCATAAGCATAACAGAACTATGAGGTCCTCTGAAGAAACGATGTTGAAGTGAACATTGAATAATACATGTAGCCTATAATATTTGCACTTAAACATTTAATTTTCATATCAATATGATATTAAATTGTAAATAAAATTAACATTTTCCCCCTAGAGTTTTGTGCAGACAAATTTAAGACATTTCTCAATGTATGTTTTTGTATCGGAATTACGAGTACTTTTATTCACATATTTGTATTGTTAATAAGTGTTAAAATTTTAATAAAAATCAATATTTTTGAAATGCTATTTCATTTTGTTTAAAAATGTGACAGTTCTGTTCTTACGAGTGTCCAAGACACGTACTTTCTTCTGCTTATAAACTGAAAACTGATATATTGATTTATAGTAAGATACATCGTCTATAGTTTGAACAAAACCGTTCTAGTGATTACTATTTGGAAGAAAATAAGTCAATAGTAGAGTATTACAGTTAAAATAAAAAATAATGTACCGGTTTCAAACAAGTGAACACTTTCACTTCGATATTATAAAAGCGAGCATTGCAGCATACGGTAAATTTGTTGCCACTTCCCTCGAAACTCTCTTCGACTACTTTCCACCACGTGGCTTGCTCTAAAACACGATTCTTAAACCTTGCAGGAGCAGGTAAAGTGATCTATTCTTGCCGGAGCTAATGAAAGAACAAACTGAATTATTATTTTGTGTTTGCGGGCGCGTCAACTCCAATTGTCATTAGTCCCGTAAGTGAAGTGCATGTTTTTCCACGCGTGGTGACTGTGATTTTCCCCGGTGAATGATAAGGTCCGACAGGGGACTGCAAGTCGCCTTGCGGTGCTCATCACTAGGGGGAGGATTTTAATGAAATGCCATATTTTTCTTTTTACTTTATAAAAATGGCGTTTAGTATAGAAATTAATTTTATGTTATACTAAAGGAAATGATCCATTTTTATATCATTTTTTAAATTTTTCATCGATTTCGACTAATAATTCATTTTTTACCTTTTCCTGTAATTTTTGATGCATTTTTTGCTGATTTCATTAATATTAATATCATTTTAATAGCATTTGCTTCAAAAATATTTACGAGATGCAAAAAATGTTCACCAGAGAATTCCTGAGTAGCTTATTTGATATCTTCTCTCATATATTGTAATATCAGCCATTATGAATTTATAACTTAAGGTTCCTGTGACATATATCGGCGACATTGCCAGCTCGAACGATTTCGCGATAAACAAAGGCAGTGATTTCCTAGTAAATAACCGTCCAAAACAAAAATTTGGAAGCTGAGTTCCCTTAAACAAAAGAGACAAGCTTCTACTACATCAGTAACATATCCAACAACTTAAGTTGTTTATCTGAAAAGTTTTGACGACATTATTTAACGTAATATTTCTTTCTTTTTACGGTATTTTAAAAAAATAAGGGAATTTTATTGATCATTTTAGCAATATTTTAGGTTATCAAAATCTTACTAAGCAGGTATCTTTCACTTGTGGGACACCTCCCGAAGTGTGTGCAAGTAAGGGGTTAAAATACAGAAAGGAAGGGGAACGAAAGATCGTGCGTTGTCCGTGGCCCACTTGTTAGGGTACTGTTCCGGTATTTCCTTTGTGTTGATCGGAAAAACCACGGGAAACTACCGATCAGTGAATCTAGATTTCTTCCCCAGATAGTAGCTGAATTCAACTAAGCTACATAGTTAGTGTCGCAAATACTGTCCTCTCGGGGCTCCAACCGTAGGCTCCCCCGATCAGAGGCACTGCATTGATATCAATTGATGACCTGAGAAACCTATGCAATCTTAATAGGTTAAATATTCACAAATGCCTTGCTAAAAAGGCTTTCAATGCAAAAAATTGCACTTCAGAAACATAAAAATTATAGAAACGCATAAATTGTTATTATTTACAAAATAAATAAATACATTTGTTTACAAAGAAAAATTTACGCAGATATACAAAAGCACCCATATTCCGCAATTCAATTTCTTTTATTATTTCTGTGTTATTTTTTCTTTGTGAACAAATGTATTAATTTCTTTTGAAAATAATATACAGTTTACATTTTGCTGAAGTGTTTATATCTTCCTGAAATGCAAAGTTTGGCATAGAAAGAATTTTTTCAAATCAATATTTAAGTGCTAATTGCGGCTCAGACTTTCAAAATCTCGAAGGAGTTTATTAAATACAATATGCTTAAAATTGCCTTAAGAGCTGTCATGGGTTTAAGGGTACGTGTGGTTAGCACGAATACATCTCTATGCCGAACATTTATTTACTGAAAAGAAAATCAAAATAGAACTACTGCATGTACTGCTTGATGTCTGTGCCTGTGATTCGGCCGTTTGTGCACACGAGCCCAGCGTGCGGGTCCACCGCGCAGCGCAGGCGGCGCAAGAAACAGCTGAGCGCGGCGAGCGCCGTGATTCATTTGTTCGCGCTCTCGCGAACCGCG